CAAGCCTAAAGAGAAAAGCCCAACAGCCTAAAACAACCGTGACCGCCAGCCAGTGCAGGAGTGGGTTTTCAGCCGGCTCCCACCTCATTATGCAGGGGAAGCGGCTCGTTCCTCTCGATGACTGTGGCACTTCCGAGCTCGGGTTTAAAGTTCGTTTATTGAATTTATTGTCTCTATAATCACCTCACAGACATCCTGGAGTGGAACAGCTGTTGTAGGATCGTGGTGCCTACGGGCTGTGGCTGTATTTGTGGGCGTTTTTTTCAAATAGAAAGTTCAGGCACTGTGAGGCTGTGGCTGTTACACCACTCCACTTCTGACATAACCTGAGATTGGCTGATCACGCATCTTTTTGTTTCTTATGGCTTTTCAGACTTTCTAGGAAAGGCTGGTAATGTGAGGTTGGCATCTGGGCCATCTCCTTGGGCATACCTTCCAGACCAATGTTTTATTACCCAGGGTTATGCCAAACACAGAAAGGCAGTCTATGAAATCATGTAAACAAACAAAACAAAACTGTACCCACCGGTATTTGTGAGTGCCAACAAACAAATACAGACATGAAAATAAGAATGGAGTCTTCAAAGCTCAGGTTTGTTTTTGATTGCGTCTAACTGAAAGCCTTTGATGCACAAGCTGGCCCGTGGATTTTCTTTGCTCAGAAGTTAGTAGATCACTGTTTTTCTTTAAGAACTAGAGGTGATCAGTCAATTAAGAAAACCAAAAAAGAAAGGATGAAGGTCTCTGTTGAACATGATGGGAAGCTTTCTCCCGCCTTCCTTACTGATATTCCTTTCTTAATATATTTTTCCATCTCAGTTTGCAGATGTCTAGAAATTTTCCAATGTAGGTACATGTCCCCATATGGCAAATTTAAGCCCAGTGAGAAGTAGTTTACTTTTTTTTAGTTACTGTTCTCATATGTTGGGCACGATCCACAGATGAAACAATCCATAAATCACAGTTAAAAATGCAGCAAATAGGCTGATACACATTGTTTTCCAGTTCAGTGGCATCTTCAATAATTGATAGTTCCCCTAATTGCACTGTATAAGTATTATGTGCCTATACTCTAATGCCTACAAAGGCAGTTAAGTTAGATAAAATCCTAAGATTTTATTTGTAGATGTGTAATATACTAACATGGGCAAAACAAAAGATGCATCCTACATAAAATGTCTTTTTTTTTTTTAAAGGGGAAATCCACACAGATTATCCAGAGATCAAAAGGCAAGCAACATTTCCCTAGTTATTCAGAAGCTGCTGTAATGGAGCCTCATCTTAATCTGAATCACTCATGTCAGATCAGCTGTGTAATTTAGCTTTCTGAAATGAAACGCTTCTTTCTTTAAACTGCTGCTCTGAGCAATAAGAACATTCTTCACAATCACTTTTTAAAATGTCCAATACTTATTCCATACATAGGTAACTGACTGTTGAGTCTCTGAAATGGGACTTCTAGTTGGCAATTTCTGGAAGCAGTGGTTATTAAGTACACTCTTTTGTGTATGTATTTGTTTTATAAACAAAGGATTACAATTTTCAGCATGAAAATCTGATTTCCAGGACCAAGGGTCTTGAGGGAAAGGGCAATTTCTTTTCTTTCATTTATAGTTTGAGGATGACAGTCACTTGTTATCACCTACTTGTGTTTTGTGAGAAACTGAATAATCTTTCACTTCATTCACACCATTTGAGATACTCTATTCCTCTGTCACATCTCTCCCCTCTCACTCTTCCAAACTTTTGAAATTTCTCTTAAGCAAAAGCTATTGTACAGTGTTACTAGCCTGCTCGGTCTTCTGCATACTTTACAAGTTGTTCTAGATCTTATCTGAGATGGGAGTAGTCCTCACTCAGCATGAAAGATGTGGGTGCATGATGGACTCATCATGATGTAATTATTGCTTTCCATTTTCTTATCCTTTCTTCCCTGAAAAACGTTTATTTCACTTCACGTTATTCTGATATACTTCCCAATGCTTTCTGAGCTCATTCCCTACTTCAGAGACTTGAGTTTAAATAGCAAGCAATTGTCAACCTGATAAATTTTAAAACAAAGTTCAGTCTAAAACCAGGTTCAGTGGTCATGTTTTGTCCAAGTGTAATTTTCAGGGAACAGGAAGGAGGCTGAGAAAGATAAGGTTAGTGGAACTATCCTTTAGCTACAGGAAGTTAAATGGGTAAGCATTTTAAGAATGGTTTTGTTTGGCTTTGGGCAATGGAATTAACGTGTAAGAGATTTCAAGTCTATTACAGAAAATATTTCAGAAATTAAATGAGCAATAGTGAGAAGTGCAGACCTTTCAGAATATATAAGAGACTGACTTCATATTCAGATAGATGAGAAATGATACTGTGAGTGCTAAGATCATATCCTGCATTCCAGTAAAACCAAAACGTGGAAAAAAGTTCTGCCTCTGTAATATTGAGATGATTTCTTAGGATTTCTGTGGGTGAGGTTTCACACTTAGCAAGTGATGTCTGGGGAAAAAAAGCACAAAATCAAAATCTCCTGTGGTTCTGTGAAGTCAGCTGTGGAAAAAAAGTTTTAATTGAGCACTGTGTTTCTAGGTTTTCTAGTATAAAACACAGTGAAAGATAATACAATACATTAAGATAATACAAATACAGTAAGGGACTACAAAAACTTTTTTGTGATAAGCTATTTCCTTAGGGGTGGATAAGAGCAAAAATCTCCTGGACAGGATTCCTTTGTTTACAAACTTCCTTCAGATTTTTTCATCATACCACTTTGTACTGCTGTGGTATCACATATATCAACTCTTTGCCGCCAAACAGCACGGTGCTCAGTTTTGTCCATCAATATCCAGCTACAGACATTACAATCAGAGCTGAAGTGTGGTAACAGGGAATTTTAAAAGAAGAATCTTATATGCAATACACAAAGTTACAGCAGTTTCCTGAAGGAAAAAAATGTATTGGATGCACTTCAAACAAATGTAGGCATGTTGATGTAACAAAATCATCAAAGTTTAAATATAGTAACTAATATACAACAAAAATATAGTACAATTTAGAAAAGGGTTGAGAAGTGTGACTAAAAGAGCTGGATGGGATTTTCCCCCCTGCTTATATATTTGAAATGTCTTTTTCCTTATACTCTCTAGTTTTCCTTGAAATCCCTAACTTTCTAACCCACAGAGCATTGCAACAGCCTCAATAGTACTCAAGACCTCAAAGTCCTGAATACAAATTACCTCCCTAATTTAGAACAGAATTTTACAACATGAAAACAGCAACTTGCACTGCAGGTCATGTCATGTATAGCATGCAGCAAAAGTGGGTAGCCCTGAGGCACATCCAAAACACCATGTGGAAATCAGGCCTGTACACTGTCATCTTCTTTTGGGGGAGTTGTTCAACCTAAATAAACTATTGAGTATAGAAATCCAAATTTGCAGATGAGGGAGAGTGACGTTCAAGTTTGAATGAAACCTGGCAAAGCAAAGGTTACTTAAGCTCTAGTTCCTCAGATGTCAGCTAGATCACTCAGAAAGTAGCAGGTTTGGGGCTCTTCTGAAGTAACCAGGGGAACACAGTGAAACCTTGTCCAAGCTAGTACAATCCTGTAAACAATTCTTCATGATCAATGTTCACGAATGTACATGTTCTCTGAGAAAATGGTTTCACCAAAATGTTTATGTGTGGGTTTCCTGTGCAACTGAAGACCCTAATAATTTAGACATTGTAGAGAAAAG